TCATGTATTTACAATCTCAGCATATACACGATTTGAATTGGTGTGGCATGCACATCAACAACGACAAAGTATTTTTTTTAATGAACCCCAGTAAGTAGACTACTATGACCATAAGAGGGCAACAATTTAATGAGTTGTGAATCTGGACCTATATAAGTGAATTGTACAAATTTTTTTTTGGGGGGGGGGGCAACATAGATCTAGATGTGAATAAACCCCCCAGTATTGAAACATGGTCTCCTTGCAGGCAAAGTAAGGAAAAACTATATAAATTATATATATTACATGTATAAAAAAAACCTAGCTGGAACCCCTTTCGATGAAAGGAATGATCGCTGCATTATCATCGGATCATTAACTATGATTAAAGTCATTGGTCTACTGTATTCACACTCTACTTGAAAGGAGCAATAAATCTATTGAGATGCAAAAAATTAGGTCTAGATTGATCTAGATCTAGATCTAGATCATATGTATACATTGATTCCCTATTCCGCTTTCGAGGTGGTACACTCAGAGGTACACTCTAGAATTTCAAAGATGTGAACGGAAATTTGACTTGTTTACAAAGTAAAGGCGTTTTAGAAGACGAACTTTCCCCAAGATCAGATCTAAACGAAACTAATGAAAAACTGAAAATTAAACTACAGTGGCTTCAGACTCATCAATACAACAGTGCACCCTTAGAATGATTCTGAACCACAATTATTTTTTTTTTCAAATCCGAAAGTTAAGTGGTTGTGAAGTTTTAGGCTGCCAAAGTGACGGACTTTCACAAATTAATATTAACTGCGTAGATCCATGGCGTATAGATAGAGATACAATGGAAGTTATGAGACGTATGAGGGATAAAAAGCATTTTACATTGTTGGTAATAACGTTCTGTAACCCAAAACTATTGAAACCTATTTGTAGCCTATATAAAATAATATGTCTTAGACCCACAGCATTGGTTCTATGATGTAATGCCCCCCCCCCCCCATGCACAAAAACACGATAATATTGAATCACGTACTGTACTAGCGAGATAAGGTAAAACCGCATGTACTGCTACGTTCACTAGATTTAGTATTTGACGTTTGACCCCCTGTTTTCTGTTTCTCCTTTTTCTTTTTTTATCGTGTTGGCTTTACATTCGCAGTGGACTAAAAACAGCGCAGTTCGTTGGAATAACTTATAATTATAAAATGAAGTACATAATCCATGTGTCTGTGCTATTCCATAGCAGTGCACTGTGTACTATGACTGCACACTCGCTGATGTGTAACTCAGTAACAGTAGTCAGTAGATCTAGATCTAGATCTAGATCTTGTAGAATCTATCTAGATCTAGATCTAGATTAGATCTAGAATAGACTAGATCTAGAATCTAGATCTAGATCTAGATATAGATATAGATCTAGATCTAGATCTAGATCTAAATCTAGTAGTAGTAGGCCTAGTAGACTTACTAGTTCGACTATAGATATCTAGACTATACATCTAGATCTAGAATCTAGATCTAATACTATTACATTATTTTATAGGCCTGCTATGAACATGATAAAAAAAAGTTAAAAGTGACGCAGGCCTACTTTCACACTCTCAACCTCGACCACCAGGCCCACATACTGGCACTACTTGGATATGGTGGTCCCGACTTTTGTGACAGGGAAATATAACCTAGAGAAAATCTAGAACGATTACTTCAACTTCTGGTTCTAAGTCTAACTCTTAACGATTACTTTTTGATTCGCATGCCGGAGAGATAGCCTTTCAAATCTAATTGCAAAAGAACATCAAATCATGGTCAAATTCAGAGATGCCCCCCTGAAACACCCCATGTTTTGTTCTTTTTTAAGTCAGGGGGGCAACCCCCGTTGCTTTGTGAAAAACAAGTGAAATTGTACTGCCCATTTTGTAGGCTAGATTTAGAATTTAGGCTACTGATAAAACATAAAACATTGATACCGACTATTTTAATCAGTATCGATATTTCAGTTGCCTACACTACACAAAAGTCGGGACCACCATATCCAAGTAGTCAAGTAGTGCCATGCCCACATACTAATGACAGTAAAATACTGATACAGACGACTCTGTGGAATCCGCTTAAACAGCATCTGCAGCACTGCAGGATTTTCTTTAGTTTAGCCATGTTACTCAGGCTCAGGTAGGTATAGTGTAGTGTAGGGCCTGTAGACACAAGCGGACAGTTAGAGAATGTTAGGAGTACGCCTTTGGCCGATATTTATAGTAACAGCCAGCCATCTTGTTTGACCTATTCTTTAGGCTAACATATATGGGGAGTGTATACAGACCTGGTAACCGGGAACAAAGTCACAAAGTATACAGACCCGGTAGGGGAACTCTTTTGTGGGAAGGACTTCCGTAACGAGCGACCACCCCATCAAACACAATAAAGAAGAGGCCTAGATCTAGACCTACCCCTACCCCTACCCCTACCCCTAACC